GAACTTAAAAAAAAAAAACCTCAGTAAAAGTATTCTAGTACTGAATATAATACTCTTAGTAATTAAACCCTGAACAATATACAATCATTCATTATTTGGAAAAAGGATAACTTTTTCCCTCTATGTACAGCGTACATAGAGTCTCCCAGAGTAAGTATCCTAAAAGTGCCTTCACTTTCTTGAAGAGGAAGAATATTATATGTAAAAAGGATTATTGAAAGAAGAGGGTTTGACATTTTAGGCTAGTCACCCTCTTTGTGGATGTAAAACTGTAATTAATTATTTTGCTTTATTCATTCCTACAAAGGAAAGAGAATTAAATCCCTTCCTGAGTAAAGAAGATCTACTTTGAAATGATCTCATTTGATCCTCCAAAGAGCCCAGTAAAGTAGGTACTATTATTTTCCCCATTTGGTATATGAGAAAACTGGGGCGGAGAGAGATAGCTATGAAATGTCTAAAGGTGGAATTTGACCCTAAATCTTCCTGATTCCAAGTCTTGTACTCATCACTTCCTCAAAGACTGAGGACTGAATACACTGAGGAAAGAAGAGTTACTTTCATGGCACAAAAGGGGTTTATCACAAAGGATTATGATACCAAACAAAGGTGATTTTCCAAGACAATGAATGATTCATTCAGAAAAAAACAATTTGGGTCACAGAATTTAGAAATGACATATTGTCCAACACATACCTAAACAGAATCTCCACTAAAACATATGAGTTAAGTGGTCATTCAAGGTCTAAAGTCCTCTAAAGGGGGAACCCACCAACCACATGGCAAAGCAGTCTGTTTCTATTCTTGACAGTTCCAATGATTAGGAAGTTTTTTCCTGATATCAAGCCTAAATTGCTTGTTTGCAATTTCCACCAACTGTTCTTGGATCTGCTCTGGGGGCCAAACAGAACAAATCTCATCTAACCATTACAGCAGGCCTTCAAATACTTGAAGATAGCTATCATGCCTCTTAAGTCTTCTCTTTTTCAAGGACGACCTGAAATGGTGGTATCAAGAACTGAACAGCACTACTCTAGATGTGGGCTGACCAGGGCAGAGTACAGAACGACTATCTTGGACATCTTCCTTAGTGCTGAAGGCTCCCTCTCTCTTATTTGCCCAAGATCAAATTAGGTTTTTTAGCTGCTTTTATTGCACTGCTTGACTCTTACCAAGTTTGCAGTCCACCAAAACCCATAGATCATTTTTCAAACAAACAGCCATCTAGCCATGCTACCTTTATCCTATACTTAAGAAACTGATTATGTAAGCCAAATGCAATACTTTACATTTATGCCTACTGAATTTCATCTTCTGCTACAATTTCATCATTCAGCCCCAAATAGTTTGGGACCTGGATGGTAATGGAGTAGATGAGCTTTCCTTCCAGTCATCAGCAAAGGTGCTAAGTATGCCATTAGGAGTCAAGGATACGTTTATCGGTCACTAATAAAAACTTTCAAAAGCTCAGGACCAACCATAGGTCCCTGGGGCCTCTTGCCAAGATGACTTTGAATCATTAATAAAAATATTCTTTTGAGTCTAGCCTTTCAACCAGTTCCAACTCCATGTGATTATATTATTTTCTAGTCCATTTCTCTCCATCTGTCCCATAAGAATAGGAAAAAAATGCTTTATAAAATTCCTTAATTCAGGCCACAACTACCTCTATCCAGGATGATTGCAATAGCCTCCTAAATGGTCTCCCTCTATCAGGTCTCTCCCCCACTCCAATCCATATTCCACACACCTGCCAAAGCTATTTTCCTAAAGCCACAAGTCTGACCCCTGTCATTTCCCTACCCAAGGAAATCCAATGGCTTCCTATTGCCTATCGGATGAAATGTGTAAAGCCCTGTTGGATTTTTTAACCCTTCACAACCTGGCCTCACTCTACAATTCCACTCATTATATACATTATTGCCATTCCTGTTCTTCACAGCCCAAACTGCCCTTCTTGCTATTCCTCATATCCTTCATCTTTTTATATGTGCCTTCCCTATCTGACCTTCCCCCATGCCTGGAATGCTTTCCTTTCTCACATAGGCCTCACAGAATCTGTTACTTCCATTATAAGCCAGCTCAAGTTATATGAACCCTTTCCTGTTCTCTCACCTGCTACTGCCCTCCCTCCATAAACTACCATGTATGTGTGTGTATGTGTATACACACATATGTGTGTATATATATATATATTTTTATACATGCTTACGAATGTACATGCTGCCTCCCTCATTAGAATTTAAGTTCCTCTGTATCCCCAGCACCTGCCACACAACAGGCAATTAATGATTCTTAGCTGACTGCTTTGCTAAAATCCAGGTATCTCTGATATACTGAAAGGAAACAAGGTGAGTGGGGCACAACCTTGCTAATGAAGTTGTTTTTTTAATTGCTACTTCCTTTTCTAGATGTTTATGGCTTCATTCATCCATTCTAGAACCTCCCCTAAAATTGAGGTCAAGCTCATTTGCCTAGTTTGCAATACTGTTCTTTTCCCTTTTTGAAAATCGTACCCTGCAGAACCTCGACCTCTTCCCGTGGCCTTTCAGACAGCACTGACAGCCGCTGAGCCAACACACCTGCCAGTTATTTCAATACCTGAGGATGTACTTCATCTGGGCATCCACTTGAATTCATCAAGGGCAACTAGGTGCTCTCCCACTAGGTCCTCATTTACCTTGGCTATCAACTCCCTGTCAGCCATTTTTGTCCTGTCACTTCCAGTGCTTAGGTGATTCTGAGTAGGGGGGAAAAACAGAAGAAAAATGAGAATTGAGCAGCACTGTCTTTTCTTGATTTATCATTTGTCATCTTCCAATTCACTACCACGCAACTTGCTTCGCTGCCTAACACCTGAGCCTTTCTTGCAACTTCAAAGTGATCAGAGCTGGTTTTAGGGTGGAGAGCTCAAGGAGGACGCAGGTGCCCATCTCTCGGAAGAATGAAGAATCATCGGTAACATATGAGCGCCAGAAAACAAAATGCAAGGATGATAATGACTCAAATAGCAACATACTAAATACAACAAATGATCGTAAAAAGAAATTCCATGAACGTGTGTCATTTGGGACAGCAGATCGAGGAAAAATATCGACGTCTACGCAAAGATGTATGAGAGTATAGCTACCTAGGGAGGATGCCTCTAAATGGCAGTCAGGACCTAACTTGAATCTTTATTTGTTACGAGAACCTGCCTCCTCATCGGAAAGGAAAAATGCTGGTGTTTTGCAGACGAGAAAAAAAAAAAATCAGAGGCAGCATATGGGGAAGCAGGTGTCTACACAGAGATTAGAAGGATCTGGAAGGGACCCCAGAGGTCATCTAGATGACTGCCATTCACTTTACGGATCAGGAAACTGAGGCTCGGGGAGGTTGCGACTCTCCAAAGATCACACGGCTAGCTAGCGACAAAGGAGCCAAGTTTTTGAACGTAGGTCTTCCTGGCTACAAGTCCAGCATTCTCTCCACTACAACGCGGGGCTTCTCTAGAGGAGTAAAAAGCAAGACAAAACAAAAGCCAAACAATCCCACAAGAGGAAGGAGACTTGGGATGAGAGGGCGGGGAGGAGATGAGAGCTGGAGAAACTTGACCCGCCTCCCCGCGAGGTGCGTCTGCAGGTCCCCGCGCTTCGGGGATGCTGAATCCGGCAGCCCCAGGGGACTAAGCGGCTGAAGACCTGGGGGAGCCTAAGAGACACAAATCTGCTCTTTGGTAGCCCCGTAGGAAAAATCTCTTTCCCCGGCCCCCGCTGCCCAGCAGGTCCCCACCTTTCGGCCCCCGAGGGGGCGGTTATTTTGGCTGCTGGGACATCCCTGGTCTCCGGGCTGCTAGAACGATTTCGTTTCCACCAGCAGAGGGGCCCCCATCCCCACCCCCCACTGCTAGGGGAGGCGGAGAGAGACGAATCCCGGCCGACCCAAGTCCAGATGCATCCTCGGCGCCCGAGGCAGAGACGCCGGCGGCGGCGCCCGCGTGGGCCCCGCTGCGCGCGAGCCTGCGCAGACCGCGGCCGTTTAGAACGCCCGCGGGGGGCGGGGCCAGCGCGCGCCGGGACCGTTACTCCCCGACACTTGGCGGGGGGGGGGGGTCCGTCTTGATGGCTGCCTCCGGATTGGACAGTTCCGGGCGCGCTTTCTCGGTCGCCAGAAGTGTGAGGAGCCTTCGAAGGCTAAGGGGTCTTTTCCCCGGGCTGGAAGCCCGTGCCTCGTCCCTCTCAGTTTCTGCTTCACAGCTGCTCGCTCAGGGGGTCTCTGCCTCGCTTCCCGGCGGGGGTCTCGTCCCTTCCCTTCACCTTAGCCTTGGGATTCCAGTCTCTCCACCCCCCTCCCCCCATTCTTTTCCCTCCATCCGGACTCCTTGGACACTATTGTAAAGTATAAACCAGAGCTTCCAGGGAAGGAGGAAGGGGAGGGTGGGGGTTGAAAAGGAGTCGGGGGCTCCCCGCTCCCTCCTCCCCACCCTCCGTGCCTCAGACCCCGGCGGAGAGGCGCTGGGGAAGGGAAGCGTGAACGCGAGCGCTTCCCGTGCTCGGTCGTCCGGCAGCCTCAGCCTCCCGCTACACCCCCCCCCATCCCCCGCCCGGGCTCGGGCAGCCTCGATCTCGGCTGGGAAGGGGGGGGGGAAGGAGGCTGGGAAGCGCTCGAGAGGAATGGGAAACACCCCGCGAGGGGCGGGGGAGAGGAGAGGAGGGGCAGGGCGCGCGCCGGGCTGCGCTGCCGCCTCCGGCTCCTCCAGTCTGGCCTCGGAGCGGTGCGGAGCGCAGGGGGCTCCCACGCGGGGGCTCGGCCGGCCCGGCTCGCTCCCCCGCGGGCGGCGGGCGCTCCTGCTGGCAGGAGGCCGGCTCACTCCCTTTGTTCTTTCTCTTCCCCCTCACCTCCCACTCCCCTCCTGTCTCGTGGTGGCGGCTCCTCCCGCCGGAGGCTGTCGGGCTGCTCGGGAGAAGGGGAGGGGGGAGGGGAGGGGGAGGAGGAGGAGGAGGAGGAGGAGGAGGAGGAAGGCGCTCGAGCTCTCGGGGCGTCGGGGGCGATGGCGAAGATCAGGGTGGCTTACGAGTACACGGAAGCGGAGGACAAAAGCATCCGGCTAGGCTTGTTCCTCATCGTCTCGGGCATCGTGTCGCTCTTCATCTTCGGCTTCTGCTGGCTCAGTCCCGCCCTGCAGGACCTGCAAGCCAAGGCGGCCAACTGCACGGTGCTGTCGGTGCAGCAGATCGCCGAGGTGTTCGAGTGCACCTTCACCTGTGGCGCCGACTGCCGCGGCACCTCGCAGTACCCCTGCGTCCAGGTCTATGTCAACAACTCCGAGTCCCACTCCCGGGCGCTGCTGCACCGCGACGAGCACCAGCTGTTAACCAACCCCAAGGTAGGTCCGGCCGGCCGGGGGCGGGAGGCTCACCTGGGAGCCCGCAGCCGAGGCGTGTGGATGGGGGGCGATGGGCCAGCGAGCCGGGGGTCCCCGCTCTGCCCGCGGAAGGACGAGAGCTGATGCCGATGCCGCCGCCGCCGCCGCCGCTCGCAGGTTTTCTTCCTGAGCTTTCCGGGCTCCCCGAGGCTACACCCCGGACCGGCCTCCCTGCTCGAGAGCTCGCTGGGAATCCCGCACCTGTGAGAGGCAGCGGCGGCTCGCGGCGAAGACACCAACACTTGGCAGTAAAGTTAACTTTTCTTTCCTGCTGGTTGAAGCCCGGCAGCCAAAGCCGCCGCTGTGCACCCCACCCGCCGTGGAGCAAGGGCCGGGCGTGCCGCTGTCCGCGGACTGACTGAGGAGCGGGAGCGGGAGCTATCCACGAATGCCCTGCAGAGACAGAGGTCCTGATTTCGTGGTCTTGTAGTCTTAGAGAAAGCCCAGGAACCTGTTGGGTGCTGGGGGGTGGAGGGTGCAATTCCTTAAGTAGGGGCGTAATGCAGGGAGACTTCTTTAAAATACAAATCTGATCAAATGAAATCTATTGAACCTGCCTTCCCTAGAAACTTTTCCTGCCTAATTGAAAAATCAATCAGTAAGCTCATATTAAATGCCTGGCACTGTCTAGAATACAAAGAATGAAACAGTTTAGGGATACTTCTTTAAAACACAAATATGGTCCAATGAAAGCTAAGTTATCCTTCCCTTTCAAGTTCCACCTTATTGAAAAAAATGAATAAATCAACAAGCATTTATTAAGTGCCTACTATTTGCCAGACTCTGTGCTAGGATTCCAGTACAAAGAATGAAACCATCCTTAGCCTCTAAGACCTTGCATTCTAAAGGAGGAGTTGACATCTTTGGGACTCGGCAGGACTGGACAGTGCAGTTTACACTAGGACAACTGTTAGGGGGATCTGCTTATAAAATGCAATGACCTTAGTCTGGGAATTAATTGAATCTTTGCAGCTCCTCCCGGGCTACCAGAAAGACTTTTTCCTTTTCTCTCTTTTCTTTCTTCCATCGGACATAGGAAAGGAAAGGATAGATCTTGGCAAAAGTACTCAGGATTTTTCTAATTCCTCCTGATGCCTAGCTCCATGATTAAAGGGAAGAGATTCAGAGAGGATCCATGATGAGAAGCAAAATTAAGGGCTACCAGTTTAAATTACTAGCTTGAAGTTTTCCTAGTCTCCCTTTAAGGGAACAGTGTTCCACATGTGTTGATATTTTGACTAGTTATCTTTCATTAATACAGAAAATTTTGAAAGTTGGTTTCATTGAGTGTTAAAAACTAAACAGTCAAATGCATACTGCAGGAACCTTTACCCATGGCCTGTGAAAGCTCTTGCATTAAACTTTAAATTCTTGGTTTGAGATGTAAAGGAATTTATTTAACCTAGGAGTCCTTTGTTCCTAAGTGATCTTGAAGAAAACAGTTTTCTTCATTTTTAGTTAGAAATGTAGATTTCAGAAGCAAAGTAAAATACCATAAGAGGTTAGAGGAAATACAATTTTTAAACTTGCCAGGAGATAATGATGCCTTAAAGATAAATATTGCCAATTAACCTGCTTAATACTCCATTGTGTAAAGATAATTTTCACTTAATCAAAGTATTAGAAACATCATTTTTTAGGAGTGAACCAAGACAAAAGAAGTGCCAGAAAGTAATAGTGAATCATAAGATCATAGAATTTCAGAGCTAGAAGAACATCTATTCCATGTCAATTTCACTTTAAAAATGGAGACAAAGTTAGTGAAGCTCTGTTATCTTGAAGAGATAATTTCTGATACAGTAACAAGTCAGGCAGCTCTTTCTATTGCTAATAACTTAAGACAGAACAACGACGAATTACTAAGTCCTGTAAAATACCTTGGACAAAGACTTAGAATCTCAAAGCAAGTTTTGAAAATTCTGGTAGGAGAAAAATTGGAAGCATTAGTAGATAGATCTAAAATCACTTGGAAGCAAATACTTTATGTAATACTTAGATTTGATTTCATATGCCAAGAGTCTGTTTCTTTAGAGTGCCAATTCTGATGTTGGCAGGATAGATCTTGAAGGAGTACCTGGGCAAAATAACATTTTTAAAGAAGCTCTAATAGAATTCAAGAAATAAGTCTAGGAAAAATACATATATGTATGTATGTATATATGCATGTGTGTGGATATACATATATATGTGTGTATGTATATATGTGTGTATATACATGTGTGTATATATATATATGTATATATACACACACATATATACCTATGCCCACACATTTTTGGAAAAATAAGAGACATTCAATTCAAGGTTGAAGTAGAGCATCTTAGTCAAAACTTAAATCTCCCCCAGCCAGCATTTTTACTAGGGGAGATTCATCCAAATTGTTAATAATTTACAATATTAATGGAATACAAATTTATGCTGTGGCTGTAGTCTTTCCATTTCAGATTAGTATGGGCCACTAACAGAAAAATAAATGATAAGTAAATACATTGAGGCAGTGCCAAGTACAGATGCAGAATGTTTAGGTAAAAATTACTTTTTTTTTTTTTTTTTTTAATCCCTGACCTGTTATTTCATTGGTGTTAGGCAGCTCCTGATAAGGAACTTCCTCTTCCTATTTGGGTCAGCTTTTGTTCTGCCACTTAAAGTCATTGTGTCTAAGGCACAGAGAGGTTAAATTACTTGCCCTGAGTCAAACCATATCAGACAATATTCCCAATTTACCCTTGCTACCAAGAAAGAAATCCTTCCTTCCCAAAATTTCCCCTTCTGTAATCTACTTTTTGATTTTTTCACTTCTCTCCAATGACCTCTATGTGAAACTCCCTAAGACCCCCAAATCCCTTTCCAGAACATGTAGGGAGTATCCCTGCCTCCAAAAATAGCCTAGACCCCCAGGAATCCAAGATTTCTTTCTTCTTCATTACTTATCCCCCCCAGAAGCAAAATTTAGTAAACCATCACTCAAAAAAATTAGACCAAGGTTTTAAAGAATTTTTTTTCATCTTCTCCCCAACCCTAAACTCTACAGACTACTTTATTAATTGTAATGGAAGTCAGAAAGAGTTTTGGAAATATTACAGAGAACCATGAAAATCATGTATTACTAAAAACACTAGTGAATAAATTTTGTTTCTGGCTGATCTAACTTTTAAAGGAGTTTTAATTCTATTTGACTTAATTATCAGCATCTATTTTGACTCTTGTGGACAAGAAAATTGGAACAGAAATGATTCCTCTATCAATTGCAATGTTAGAGTTAACCCTCTATTATCTGTAGACAAATTAACTCTTTTGTGAGCTTCCTCTTTGCCATCCTTGTGATAACATTCTTCTGAATTATTTCCCTGGGCCACTGAGTTAGTATGTGCTTAAGGGATATAAATGCATTTTAACATTAATTTAAAACAACATAATTAAGAAATTAAATTGGAGGAAATCAAATAAAGAATTCCAGAGTTGAAGATAAATAGTTTCTGTTTTTTCCAAAATATTTTATATTGTTTATACTACTGCTTTCCTCCATTAACACAGATAATTGAGAGTTCAGTGAATTACGTTTGAATAAAGACAAATATTTAAAGTGCTGTTCTGTCTACAGAATACTTGCAACTAAATGGTCCAGTGGATAGAGCTTGGAGACTTGGAATTAGGAAGATCTGAGTTCAAATTTTGCCTCACTAGGTTTGGCCATGTGACTCATGGCAAAGCTCTCTGTGCCTCACTTTCTTCATCTGTAAAAATAAAAATAAAAATAATAGCATCTATATCACAGAGTTGTTGTGAGGATCAAATAAGTTAACTTATGTGAAATGCTTTTCAAACCTTAAAACACCATATAAATGCTACTATTAAAGCTTTAGAAGAATTAGGAGGAAGAGTAATAAACTAAAAGTACTACGAAGGAGATAGAAAATACAGTAAGGGGAGGGAAAAAAGGGAAAACAACTAAAAGGGACTCTGCAATTTAGGCTGAAGGATAGCCAAAGTTAAGAGACTTCCAAGAATTATCACTCAGCACAACAAAAAAAACTGCCTCTGGGGCTCACATGTCCTGTGTTTAGTTTCATCGGGCTCAAGGGTGAGCCTAAAATCTCTGACTCAGGCTTTTGAATGGAGTTTCAGGTTGTGGTTTCCAAGACAGGGCCAATTTTTTGTCTTAACGCCTTTTCAAATCTTTATTCTTTTAGGAAAGGAACTATAGAGTTAGTTAGACTGATCTTATTTTAAAAATTGAGTATACTAAATAATTTTGTTTGTATCTTAAAATAGCTCTTAAAACATTTGTTGAATTATCACGAGAAACCACTAGTCTGTTGAAAAGACCTACCTTCATCTTTGTCTGTATAAGCTTTAGAAATAAATATATAACTTTACCCCATCCCTCTTTAACTTCCATCTTTAGGTAGAATGTACAGAAGTCACCATCACTTGAAAAACCCCCAGAAAAAATGTGTTTATGAAAGAACAATGAGATGCTAAATTTTGTTTGATAGTGATAGTGATCTAGTGATTCTTAATATAATCTAATTATATTATGAACCATAAAGTACATTGATTTTAATTACTTTGTGCTATTATTATTAAAAATATGCTTCTATAAGTAATGATTAAATGAATAAATTATAAACACTGATTTATCATGTACATATACCTTGTTTGTAGTTTTATTTGAAGAAAGAATGCATTTGTATTTCAGCCATCATCATAAGGTTTACACAGATTTTATTATATTTTCATGTATAGCAACACATAAGTGAACAATTAAAGTTTTGCTTACTTCAATTAGTTTTACAAATTTTATAGTTCTTTTGCAGAATTTCATTTTCATTTGAGTTCCTAGATAAACAGAACATTTATCATCTGGTTAAATTCTACTTACTTGTAGCAAAATCATGAACAGAATAGTCTCAAATATTACAAATATGCTAAGCCATCTTTTATTCCTTACCTGGGTTATT